GCCCATAAAATGATCAGCGGGCTGTACTTTAGATCCACTTGCCTGCCATATTTTTAACCAAAAGGCAGATGACTAGCTTTGATGTGGTGGTTGGTTTCTGCTACTGAAGCTGGCATTTTATCTTCTTGCATCAGATTTCTTCTTAAATTGATGTGATTCAAGCAAATGAAACCCATTTGTATTCTGATTATATTCCTAAAATATGTTTTTATTGTAACTTTAAATTACATTGGGCTGCCATTGACTCGGGAGCTCCAAGGCCCAAATCCTAGTCAGGGTCAGTCCACGGTGGTGGCCCTCAGCTCAAAGATGTCATGACTTCATGACTTCGTCTAGCACAGCCTCCGCACTCACAGGGCGAGTCCAAGGCTAGCCCCAACAGTAGTGCTATTGTGCCCTTTAAGTCATAGAGGGGTAGACACAGGGCTGTGTGGCCTTTATCCTTGGGAAACATTTTATGTATACGTTAACTTCCATTGCAGGTGCCATTCACTCGAGCATTTCTTTCTAGTATGTGTTCTGACTGCTTAAATAATTCATTTATCATCGGGCTATTTTTATGGAAAGGATAAAAATGAAGGAACAATTCCTACATGTACAAGGACTACAAAACTTTCCTTGTCTCTAAATCTGAAAAAAATCTGGAAAAAAATGCTGTGAAAGATTTTTTTTCCCCTTGCAGCTCAAATGATCTAGAGATGAAGGTAACACGAATCTACTTATTTGCTTTGCACTAGTAAAAATAATGCAAATTCAGAAATTATCCACCCTCTAGGATCTCAGGTGAATCACCAAGTTTCCAAAATTCTGGGACTGCTTCTACATTACAACACTGCTCTAAAATCTCCCAGCTTTTCTGGTCACTTAATTTAACAAGGGGTCCCATCTCTTAGTAAGGCGTGAGTGCATAAGATGGCAAACAGCATATACAAAAGTTGAATCGTAATTTTTAAAAGTGTTTGATAATACATAGATGTATGCACACACGCACACATACATGGGATTTTAGAGTGAGATCAATATGGACTGGAGCTGTTGGCAAAATCTTATAGCGGAGATAAGATCTGAGGTGTGTCGAGAGGAAGAGATACTGGACAGTGTGTTAAAAAGGAAGACCAGTGCCATTATGACTGTGAGGAGGGGGTATGCTAAGGTGGAGCTGCACATACTTGGGAAGACTGCTGAAAAAGAAGATGGGAGAACATCTGGACCAACAGGGCCTTCCAAATGAGAATAACTGCATTCTCTTTCTCCCCCCCCATCTCTCCCTCTCTTCTCTCTTTCTTTTGGCACGACTGGGCTTTGGACTCGGGACCTTGTACTTGCTAGAAAGATGTTGTATTGTTTGAACCACAGCCTCAGCCCCTGGTTGCATTAAAAATTACTATTATTATTATTATTCCTATTAAGGTGTTAAATAGAAGGATTACTATCTTATAAAGCAGGTGATGAGTAAGTTTCCTTTTTTGGACAATGTCAGCCCATCTTTTCTTGTCCCTCAGTTTCCCCCCTTGGGTGCATTTTTGTAATGGTGATTCTTGGGGGACTGCCATATGGTACACATGGATCCTCTTCCTCAGTGCCTCTTGATTATAGCTCTTGTGAAAATGTCTCTTTCCCATAAACATCGTCCCTAGGTAGTAGTTTCTATTTACACTTCTGATGTATTTTTTTCTCTCTTACACACCACAATGGAATTAGGTGTCATGGCTTCAGATTTCAGATTTCAAACTTTTATCATGATTTTAAAGAAGCCACTTTGTTCCTCTAGATCTTAACTTCATCCGTTAAATAATAGGGTTGGATTTTACACATTTGGGGGGGTGGTATTTGGTGCCAGTATTTCATAGATCACGATTCTAAGTGACACGGTACTATTTTGTCTGTTTGGATTGAAAGAGTGGCAAAACCGCAGACCCAAAGTTTGTTCAGTTCGATAAAACTATAAAGGTACATTGAATTAGAAATATTATGATCTCAATTTAAAAATACATTCCTAATTCATGGTTGTTATGCAGTGTGGTGAGACCTAGTCACTTCCGAGTGCTGAAGAACAATATACATTGAGTCCCCTAATTTTACATCAGTATCCTTAGACGCCGAGTTTCGAAATCAGCTGTCACAAGAAAGAGGGGCTTCCGGCAATGGTAAAAGCACACTGCTAAAGCTCTCTGTGCAGGCAGAGCCAGGACTCTGATAAATCCGTTTATTCCAGGTACTTCAGATGCCCTCAATTTGTAACCTTCTTCAGTGTTTATGTTTCTTCTCAAGCAGCAAAAGATACCGTGCTTGGCCTGTTCCTCTGAGCTCAGGAGATCTGGGAGCTGAGAGTCTGATTAGTGAGCAAAGGCAGAGATGCGCAGGCTGCCGCTCCAGCCGCCTCCGATGCCCGCTCCTTGTCTCTTCGTATTATGTTTGCACTTTGAAGGACGTTTGCCAGATCGAGACCCCTGGGAGCCCTGTTATTTGAATGTCTCTTCTCACCTTCAACATGATCTGGACTGATGTTTTCATTTGTTAAAAACAACAAGAACATTCACTGGGAAACTTTCGCTGGAATCGGTTCAGGTCATCAGAGCTATTTATTCCCTGTCATAAACTGTAATTCTCCATTTCCCTTACTCCCACGTCAGGGGAGTTGGTGGTTTATGGTGGACAGCCAGTGGGATTTGAATGAACAGTGGAAAGATTTCAAAGAACTACCGAGAGATGATGTAGCAGGTTGTAGTACTAGAATAAACCATAAAGTATTCTTGGTCTTGATCACAGTTTGGCAGTGCAAGGAGAAAGAGGCTTAGAAAGCAGCGTATGACTTAGAATTTATTCTTAAACCTGAGAGTTTCTTGGAGGAAAGCAACAAATCATGGCGTGTTGGCTTCCTAAGAGCAACCCTTTAAATGGAAAGAGTACAGCCCCGCGCCTGACTGGTCTCTGTTTCATAAAGGTTCAGCAGCTGAGGGTGTTTTGCAGATTTTATTTATTGGAAGCCTGAAATTCAGTTATGGTAGTGTCTCAAAGTCTTGAAAGATCAGAGAGGCCTGAAGAGCAAGGTATGTAGAACTGTACACAGGGGATTTGGGGGAAAAGAGGGGAAGGGGAGAACAAGACAAATTCTTCCAGACATTTGAACAGGTAGAGGAACACATGCGCAAGGCAACTGCCTTAAGCCATTGGCTTCTACATGCTTTCAGTCTGCTGCAGATATTACTGGAAGCAAATTTTAATTAATAGCTAAATAGTGTCATACTTAGTGACACCAGTGGAGACAGAGCCCAGGAATCAGGATCGAATTGTCTCCCTTCTCGAGATGTGGCTGATTTGGCATTCTAGGTGAACGCACAGAGATAGGATTCATCTAGCAGACGCAATGGCTGGCTGCAGCTCCTTGGCTGGTGGAACCTGGTGAGATCGTATAAAACACTTTCTAAGGACCAGCAACGTTTCATGCGCCCTGATGAAACACATCCAGCAAATGCTTACTGTGTCTGATGCTTTTTATGACTAACCGGAAATATGCAGTCTCTATTCTAAGACCCTAGGCATGTGCAGAGAGGCAGCCCTGCAGGTGTCTGACCCAAAAGATAGGCCTCAGGCATCAGGTACCAAAAGATCTGGCTTAGGATCCCGAATCTAAGGTGTGTTTTGAATCCTCGTGCAAATTAGGATGTGTTCTTACTTGGAATAAGAGCAACATGGTAGCTCAATTAGGACGCCACGATTCAAGCCAGTGGTTGTTGAATGTGTTGTGTATTTATAATCACAGAAGATCGTGAGACTGTGCATGGGAGAAATGGAGCAATGAGAGCTACTATTCTATTTAATACGGAGCAAGTGTCCAAGATCTCCTTTCCTTTTTCTTTTCTTTTTTGCCAGTCCTGGAGCTTGAACTCAGACCTGGGCACTGTCCCTGAGTTGCTTTTGCTCAAGGCTAGCACTCTACCACTTGAGCCACAGGGCCACTGTTGGCGTTTTCTGTGTATGTGGTACTGAGGAATCGAACCCAGGGCTTCATGCATGGTAGGCAAGGACTCTACCACCAAGCCACATTCCCAGCGCCTCCAAGTTCTCCTTTCTTCCCATCCTCACCCCAACTCCTTTGAGCCTCTGTGGGGAGAAGTGGTTGAGAATGTCGATTTAGCCCATCAGCCTTGGGTGTGGGCACTCAATGCTGCATGTCTCTATGAGCCACAGACTCTTCCAAAGTTTGGGCCTCTGGGTGATGGTTTGATGGTGGTGTCCGCACAGCTGGTGTTGGCAGTCAGCTTCACCACCCATCCCTCTTGTCTGCGGCTGGGTGGGGACTCAAGACTTGAGCCCACTGTTTTCTGGCTGCCGTAGGGGGCTGAACGCTCAGCTTGTTTGTTACATTGCTTCTGGAAGCACCAGGAACAAACCCGGGAGGGAGCTGGCGGGTAAACACTCCGGCTTGTGATTCCGCAAACCTGTTTTCAGGACCGGAGAGCTCAACCTTGAGTTGGATCCCTTCAGGAATCTCAGGATCTGGTTCCTCATTCTTTGGTTCTTTTAGGGTGAGTCCCGGAGTAATGTTAGTGTGGGTTGTTCCTGTGGGGCCCTCAGCTCTGATCTGGGGAGGAGCCCCTGAGAACTCAGCTTAGCAAAGCAGCCTGGCAGAATGCTGGCAGGAATCAGTCTTGGCCGCTGAGAGAATGGCCGTGAGTTGGCATCTCCTCTCACAGCTGTGCGCTTGCGCTCCCGTGTGGAGGATGACCAGGAGGTAGCTGAAATGGGGGGTTATGAAACACTGCGTGAACCTCCTATCGTCTAGCACAAGAATGGTAAGAAATGACCGATTCTTCTTTTTCCATCTCCGGAGAGAAACATTTGCACAGCACGAAGCTGCATTAGGCTGCAGCACTTTGATAAGGATGTGAGCAATGAAGCCACCCTCACGAGAGATGTCTTCTTCTCTTTTCTCTGTTAAGTGTTCACTGGGATCTCTGAAGTGAATGGGGCTCCTGACCATCACATTTATATTGTAGATGATCAGCTGAACTCAGAGGAAAAGAAGAAGAGAAAGCAGCGGAGAAACAGGACCACCTTCAACAGCAGCCAGCTGCAGGCTCTGGAGCGCGTCTTCGAGCGGACACACTACCCGGATGCGTTTGTGCGGGAAGACCTCGCCCGCCGGGTCAACCTGACTGAGGCCAGAGTGCAGGTAACTCAGGCTGCTGCGGGCTGCGCCAGGCAGTCTGGAGGCCCGTCTCCAAGTGTTGTTCAAAGTCAGCTGTGTCAAAATAATCACTCTGAAGTGAACTAGTTACGCAGGCCAGAAGTGCTCAAAGCATCGATTCACTGTATCAAAATCATGTTTATAACACAAGGCTCTTTGGCAGGTTGCATTGTAGAACTTTCTAGCTTGAAAGGAACCGTTCCATCTCCCATACAGTTCTGTTATAGTTAATGAGTTACAATCCCTTAATGTAATATTTGAGTCACCGTACTTAAGAAATACGCATCTATTTAGCAAGCAAAACCAAGTCATAGATTTCGGGCACTCCATGCTAGTGAGGGTTACCTGTGGACCTCATGTGGACAGACTCCAGGGTCTAGATGTGTTTCTATGGGCTGCATAGAAGGTGAAAACTCAGACTCAATACTTTTGAAAGGTCAGAACGTTTCCCACTACAATTCCCTTTGCCCCCCCCCCCCCCGCCCCATTGCTTTGACCCCTCCAGATTCAGGTTATACATGTGGTAATATTTTACTGTGTACCCCCCCGGCCTTCATTTTGAGCTTTGGGGGCCATTTTGAGCTTTAGCATTCCCTCCTCTTAGCCTCCCCCTCACCTTTGGAGATGCAATCTTCCAAACAGTTGTCATGTATGAACCCTGGTCGAAGTTGAAAACAGGGACTGTGGACCTGAGCTACGAACACCTTCAAGCAGATGATTTTTATATATTCTCCACCTCTGAGTGAGGAAGTGAAAGAAGGTGCAAGCAAAGGGAAAGGGAAAAGAGCACATCCTTCTAAAACTCACATCAACGTATCAGCTGCAAGCTAGACACGTAAGGAACAATATAGCCAGTCATTGTTGTAATACTCATCTGATACATAGCCAGTCATTGTTGTAATACTCATCTGATACTTAACACTGACGAAGCCCTTACAGGCAAAGAAATGCTCTTGATATGATTGATCTAATATGGATCATATGGATGTTATCCTCTATCTGACAGCTGAGAAAAATGGAGGTGAGAGAGGTTAAAGCATTGAACATGACGTCAGATGGCTAGAAATTAGTCAATATAGAATATGCATGATGGACTGTCAATCCAGAGTTCAGGCCTTTGAAGCTGGGAATGAGGCTCAATGGCAAAGCACTCACCTAGCATCTTGAAGGCCCTGGATTTGATCACCAGCATGTGCATGTGTGCACGTGTGCATGCACACACACATCCACACACACACGCACAACATACACTTTGAATAAATAATGGTCTTTTGACCAAATACTTTTAAAAGTAGTGCTTTGCTGTTTTAACAAAACACATGTGACAAATCTGTCATGTCTTCCCACAAAAATTATTATTTGCATATTTATGTCCACTATGAGTCAGAGGAATTTCTTGCTGTAAAGTATAGCTTTCTAGAGTAAGGGGGCTTGAGTCAGGCAGCAAACATCTTGACCAGTGAGGAGACCCGTCCATGTAGGAGCAACTTGTTGAGAACATAGACTTGTTGGGTAGGTGGGGAGGTCCTGGAGGTATCTGAAAAGAAAGTGTGAACTGTTTCCTCCCTGAGGCAAAGAGAAGCCTCGCCGAAAATTACTCCTCAGGAGACAGAAATGAGACAAAATGAGAGAAATTAAACAAAAATGTGCAAGAGTTAATTTTGAGTTGGGGAACTACCTTGTCCCTATCACATCAGACAAACTCTTTCATCTGTGTGTCTATCATCTGTCTGTCTGTCTGTCTGTGGAGAGGGGACAGATTTTTTTCTTCTCCCTTTCATGTCACACTACATACTGATGACTTTCAGTGCTGTGGATTCTTAGCTCCTGAGTAGGGAGAATTTTCCTCCCTGAGTTCATTCTCCCATCGTGAAATCCTACCCTTTCCAGAGTGAAGTAATCCATCTAGTTCTGCTTTTATTAATACTCGGAGCAGTTATTATACTGGGACATATACTGTATGGACTTGCTTATGGATCAGCACCCCCCACTAGATGGCAAAGTCCCTTTATAGAGAGGCCCGATTTTATTCCTTTTTGCAAGAGTAATTTCACCCCTTTTCTTTTCTTTTCTTTTCTGTCCTCATTTCCCTCAAACACCTAATGAGTACCTCTTGTACATTTGGAGCTGTGTTTTATTTTCTGGGATGAATAAGACACTAGGCTTCTCCTTAAGGGTGTTATGGTCTAGGGTAGAGGAGACAGATGTACAAACCATCAGATTATGATATCATAAGCCTATGGTAAAGGAATTTCCAGAGGAAATAATGATCCGGGATGCCTGGGCGGGGGTGGGGGGGGGGGAGGGGAGTACATATCTATTAACCATCCAGTCTTGATGATCTCACAACTGCCCTGTAAATGTCATTACCTCCAATTGATTGGGATCCAAAGGGAAAGAGGAATAACCTTCCAAGAATAAGTGTGCATTGTAGTGTGGCAAGTATTTTCTCCAATCCCTTTAGACTTTAAAATTGTGTTCTTTCCACTCCAATGCGTCCCAGCAGGGGTGGCGTGCAATTCAAATCTCTTAACATTAGAAGATGTTGACCACTGGACGGAAGGGGAGAGTATGGCCGGCAGAGGGGGCTTCGTGTGTGTGACTATACGTAGGTAGTGCGTGGCCTGCTCCATCCAGGAGTCCTGGGGTCCTCAGGCTCCGGACGGGAGTTAGGAAGATCGATGGCCAGGGTAGGTGAGAGTGGCATGACTTTGTGATTGGACTAGGAGCTGATTTCTGAATGTCACTGTTTCATGGTGAGAAGTTTTTATTTCATTCTTTAATGGGAAGCCAGTAGATGATACCCAGCAGGGCACTGGTATGATTATACTCACGTTTAAAATGATAACTTTAGTAAGAACGTAACAGACACGACAGAAAGACGAGGTGGAGGTCTGGGACGTGGGGGAGGGTGTCCAGTGTGCAGTCGGACGTGGCAGAGCAGGCACTGAGCACATGGTCGCTTTGGTGGACGCTGCCCCGGCGTCATGCAGCCAGACAGCAGGATTTCCCTCTTGCATACCTCGTTGTCAGCACCTGAAATATTCACCTGTCCGTGTTTCCAATGTACATGCCTTCCTCAGCTGGAGTGTGGGCCTCAGGAAAGCAGTAGACCGAGTCTTCCTCATCGTTTTCTTTCAGCATGTAGGACGGGGTCTGAGCCGCAGTATTCCTAGACTTCCTGAGTACACAAACAGATGGGTAAAACTGCATTGTCATCTGCAAGAGTTATAGGGCCAGGAGTTGGACATCGTTGTGTTAAAAATCAGCCATCGGTCACTTGCGCCAACTGCTTCACATCAGTGAAACAGTTCCTTCAGCTCTACATTAAGAATGATAAAACTTAACTTGTGGAAAGACCATGGTGACTAGAAATTCTGTAGGTAGTGCACCCAAAGGCTCTTAGCACTGGCACTTAAAAAAGTGCCATGTGTACTATTATGGCAAATACTATCCGTGTCATACGCTACAAATAAATGTGATCCAGTCAACACCTTGCCTTTCAAGTCTGGATTTTTCTGCAAAAAGATTTCTTTCTAGAACGTCAAGAGACTCTCCATGTGATCATTGTGTGCCTTCGCGCCAGCAGTGGGCAGCAGCCAGCAGCGTGCGCATGCCCGCTCTCCGCAAGACACAGCTCAGGGCGCGCTCCTCCTCCGGGTCCAGAGTCCCGGGAGGACTGCAGTCTGGTTGTGGGGAGCGCTGCTGCTCCTTCTTTTCCACCGATGGTGGTCCTTGCACTACCCAAGCAAAGCTGGCCCCAGCCCCACATCCTTGTCTGACTCTCTGGTTCTGGAGATACAGAAACTTCTTTAAACGTCAGTACGCATACGGAGAGCAGACAATTTCACATTTTGAGGAATTTTCCAGAGGCTTTTTGGAATGACCATGGCGTCCCAGGCGCCTCCTCTTTTTCTGGATTGCAGTCACCACAGGGGATGTGGCTTTCGTTGTTGCTCATTGGTTAGTCACAGACCTCCTCTCCGGAGTCTTGATCGCTGGAAGTGCCTCATCATTGCTTTTTGTCTGTTTATTTGTGTGTTAGGGACTAAGCCGAGGGCTTCATACGTGTTAAGCACATGCTCTACCACTGAGGGACTCTCCAGCCCTGTACAATCAGCCCTGAGAGCTGTATAGCTAGCTACCCACCCGGGAGGGGCCCTGTCATGGTTTTATTGTTCTAGGAAGAATGTCAGCCCTTTTCTATGTCTTCCTTAGAAAGTATTGTATAGTAAAAACAACCAGAATTCCCTTCAGGTGGCCACTTTGTCTGTCTGTCTGTCTGTCTCTCCCATCTCCCCACATTCTGAATATGTCCTTCCCTTGTCCCAACCATCTTCCAGGTGTGGTTTCAGAACCGAAGAGCGAAGTTCCGCAGGAATGAGCGAGCCATGCTGGCCAATAAGAATGCTTCTCTCCTCAAGTCCTACTCAGGAGACGTGACGGCCGTGGAGCAGCCCATCGTGCCCCGCCCCGCTCCCCGGCCCACGGATTACCTCTCGTGGGGGACAGCCTCTCCGTACAGGTGAATGCCGCTCCACCCCCTCGCTCCACCCCACATAATGCCCAGCCATCAGCCATGCTCAAAGCTGGTTTTGCATCGGGCTGATGCTTCTTCTTGGGTTAACCTCCTCAGAGACACTCAACTTGCTGACACCCCCAGATTTTCACAGGAGATTGCTCGTTGCCCCAGGAGCAGGGTTTGGGGGCAGAAGAGAGAGGGGGCAGCCCATCAGCAATCTCCTCTTGGACTCGGGAACTCTTGAAAAGATGGGAAAGAGCCTAAAGGAAAAGATCATTGCTAAGCTGTGCCCCGTGTCCCTCTTACAACCATTCTGGAAGAAAGCTACCCCACTCCCAAATTTAAGATAGGTTTGAGTTATTATGCTCTTATTGTGTAATGATTCAAACAGGCACTTAGGTGAACTTCACAGTAAAACTGATTTTGAATTAAAAGGGAAAAAAAGGAGAGAGAGGGGAAAGAAAGGAAGGAGAGTGAGAGAAGGAAAGAGAAAAAATGGCAGAGAGAAGGAAAGAAAACTCAAGGTCACTCTGATCACTTTTGTGACCTTCATTTTTTTATTATTAACTGGAGATATCTTAGGGCCCCAAATGCCTTCGTATCTATAGCTAATTCTTGTCTACTTGGCTAAAGATTTCTTTGGACAGCAGCGTTTGAGTGTGTGTATGGGGGAGATGTGTGTGTGAACATATGTGTGTCTTCAAATAAGACGAATGTACAATTTATACCTAACTTTTATATGAAAAAGGTAAAACTTCTGAAGAAGCAAACCAGAGGAATATTTTAGTCTTGTTGTGAGGCTTTTAACCTCCATTTATTATGTGATCAGAAACCATAGATCTATTCCAGCCACACAGCTTGAGATGCCTGTGGTTAACACACGATCAGTCAACACAGATCTCCTTAGCCCCGAGAAAACCAGGTTCAGGCTACCAGTTCCCTCCCGGGGGAGAAGAAGTATTCACAACTTCATGAATTATGGTTTTATTTACCTATTCGTTATTAAGGTTGATGGCTGGCTAAAAGAGAGGCCACGAAGTAGTTACAGGAGATACGATTTAGCTGGAGGCCCCTCCCTAATGTGAAGTGACACACTTGTGAAACGTAAATGCTCTGGTCAAAGCCAAGAGCCCCACCCGAATGGTTCTTTTGGTTTTGAATCCCAAGTCAGTCTTTCAGAGAAACCTCACTAATGAAAGCATGACCTAAGTCTGGTCTTTGTACAGCAAAGTCCTGGTCTGGATCTGTGTTCTCCCTGGTTCTGCTGATTTTGAGAGGTCAGTTATATCTGTGTGTCTTACAATTTAGATTCTTCTAGAAGGTTTACCAGCAGCACATTTAGAAGACGGCATGAAACCATATATTCTGTAGTATTTTAAATAAGTGGGAGGCCACGTCGTCTCTCCTACAAACATTGGTATCCTACAGACCCACTAAACACCTTGGGAAATGGGCATAGATCAAAAGGGTGTTTTAAGACCCCTAGTTTGAACTTGGGAGTAACCAGGAGGTATCAGCCCTGTGTTCTCCTTGGGAACGTTTCACAGCAGCTATCCACAGTCCAGAGGGCTGCCGTGTGGTCCTTCTTAAGGCTGTGCTAAGAGCGGCCAGTGCACAGATGGAGATGAAACCTTCCCTGAACTGGCACTGTGGTAGACGGCCTGGACCAAAGCAGAAGTCCAGCCTCAGTGCCTGCATCATAGGATTTCCGTACATGGGCATCGAACTGAAGCTATCCAAATGACAATTTCTGAGTGCCTTTTTTGGAGATATCCTACACTAGCTGAACTTTTTATGTAAAATTCTAGACACATTTTCAAAAGCACCCTTAAACTGACCATCTTTATATTAGTTTGTTCATATTTGTGGCTAGTGGTCAATATTTTATGTAGATGTAGCCTTAGTGTACATATTTTTGTATTCTACTCTTTTCTTAAAATCATATAACCTTTTTACTCATTCCACAGTATGCATTTATATCATTTCTCTCTTAGATCCAGAGTTTGTAAAAATTAATTAAAACAATACCATAGAAACTGATGGTTCATATTATGTATGAGAAATAAATTAATCTCCAATATGAGTAGAAAAGCAATGGTCTAAAACAGTTATTTATCAGTAATATGTTTTTCGTCCCCGACTCAATGTTGGCTGAAGTGTTTATATTTTGGTTCATTTCTAAAAATGGCAAAAATGGTTCTGTTCCTTGGAGATTTTTTTCTACTATGTTTAGAAATATTCATTACAATTTTACACTTTGAAACTTGCTAGGGAATATAACTATTGTTAATAAAATATAAAAGAAAAACAAGTAATGGGAAACAAAAGAAATAATGGACCTTCAGTGAGATGGAAAATGTACTCTCTCTGTTGGTACTACGATGTCAAGTTAGTTACATCACATGTTACGTTCATTAAAAGACATTTCTCATGGTTAATCCTCGGACACTCTTTTTTTTGTTTTTTTTTGTTTTTTGTATTTTGTTTTTGTTGGTCATGGGGCTTGAACTCTGGGCCTGAACACTGTCCCTGCGCTCTTCAGCTCAAGGTGAGCGCGCTACTGCTTGAGCCACAGCGCCACTTCCTATCTTCGGACACTCTTGTGTGGTAGCTGTTTCCTTGCTCTGGCTCCAAACGAGAGGAGACTGAACACTTGTTCAAGTTTAAGTCTTCAGTGAGCAGAATTAGAATGCATGCTTTGTGAGTCCTGCTCCTGTCCAACACATGAGGACATATACCCGTATTTTATTCCCATTAAACCTTGCACTATATTGGCAGTAATGAGAAGTATATGATTTTACAACTCTCTCAGTAACCCTTTCCGACGGAGGGTCTGTGTCAGGTCCGAAACAGCATCCCAGGGTCAGTAAAGACACAGCTCTGTCAGACAGAACAGTTTACTGAGTTCCAGGTGCTTTCTTGGAAGAAGGACAGTAAACCAGGGCACGTTTGCAAAATGTCTGAAGTTTGGGGAAAATAACCAACCTTTTTTTATGGGCGTCTTTTATGAATTCAGAGTGGTGGCGATATGACTTGTCAAGCCAAAGCACTTTAAGAGTTAAAAAGGGGAGTGGTCTTACTAATTAATAGTAGACCACAGGTATAAGACAGGATTGCGTGGCCCCCACTCCTTCCCTGAGGCCTATTACGGGTGACAGTGTCAGCCCCGAAGCAGAGTCCCTCCCAAGAGCAAAGCGCTTCCCAAAGCAAAATCTCCCAGCACGGCTCTAGTTCCTTGGCAGGTGTCTCCTTGGTTTACGTGTGGCAGTGGAAGGACGCTTGCCTTGGGAACACATGCCTGCTTCTTAGTTCAGAACTGTCCTCCCACAGCAAATTGTGAGAATAAAGAAGTGCACAGGAGCCAGAGAATCATTACGACTTGCTGATTTTACAGTGCAGTGCCTTTTGGGTATCAGTGATCAATCGAGACATGGACTTTTGACTAGGACTTGAGCTAAAGTAGCCAAGACCCCATCCCTAGAGATCTCTGCCCTTCGGAGGGCAGCTGGCAGACGGCCTGGCTGCGCACTATAGGTTCAGAGTGCTATTTTGAGAGGGAGGGCAGACTTCAAAGAAAGCTGGAGACAAGTGGAAGAGAGGCTGAAGTCCCTGTCCGCGTCTCCCCTCCCCCAGCCCGTCCTCCCCGTCCTCCTCCTCCTGGCCCTCCTCCTCCTCCTCCTCCCCCCGTCTGGTCGCGGTCATGGTGCTGCATGACATCTGCTGAACGCATTTGGCTCATTTCTCCCTTTCACACTTTCAAAAATAGATCCTCGTCCCTCCCAAGATGTTGTTTACACGAGGGACTTCATAACGGATTCTAACGGAGGACCCCGAAAAGGTAATTTGTCAGAGGGCGGGAGTGGCTGCTGGGGGCAGGGCTAGGGGGGAACCCTTTCTCTTGTTGAAGCTGTAGACACGCTCAGAAGTGAGTCCTCACGCAGGGAATGCGCGAGGAAGCCAGGGCCCTGAGGACATGTGTCCATACAGTGAGCGGGAGCGGGAGAGTCCTCGGCAGCCCTCCAGCATGGCTGAGACAGGATCGGAGACTCTGCTGAAGGAAGGCGGGGTGGATTGGGGTTCTGCGTCTCTGAGTTGCCCCCCTACAATGGGGGTGCAGCGCTGTTCACCCTCAGTGCAGACACTGCACAGCACAGCTCTAGGTGACTAGCGTGGTGCACCTCAGTGTGTTCTTGTCCTGGCTGCTTTGGCTTCTCAGACCACTGATCTTTGTGTGTCACCTTCTACCTAAATTGAGCTAGCAACAGCTTCCTCTCACTCACAAGAGTGTTTGGAACCTATAGACGAGCAAGGGCAGACAGAAGAAGAAGAGCTGGTGGTAACCGAAGGACGTAAGATTCACGGAGTTTATATATACAAACATTCCTAGGAAGATGAACCATTGCAGAAGGGATCATTGACACACAGTAAAAACGGAGGGCTAACCTGTGAAATCAAGTCCCGGTGCGTCCACTCAGAAGAGCTAATAGACATTAAAAATCATCTTGTGAATTTTTAAACTAAGAGAAAGAAATGATTGTGTGTGTGTGTCTGTGTCTGTGTGTGTGTCTGTGTCTGTCCTGGGGCTTGAACTCAGGGCCTGGGCCATGTCCCTGAGCATTTTGTTCCATTTAATGCTAGCATTCTACCACTTGAACCACAGATCCGTGTCCAACATTTTGTTGGTTAATTGGTTAAAAGGGTCTCATAGACTGCCCTGCCGGGCCGGCTTTGAACAGCAATCCTCAGATCTCAGCCTTCTCGGTAGCCAGGATTTACAGGCGTGAGCCACGGATCCTCCACGAGAAATGATTTTTTTTTTTAAGTCACACAAGATCTCTTTCAGAAGCATTGATGGGATCTTTCTTTAGAAGTAAGTTTTCCTACAACATTTGGCATTGAGTTTTCTTAGATGGAGCAAGTATGCTTCTATTATTTTTGAGTTGAGAAAAGAACAAACCAAAGAGATGGTCTCCAAAGGTCTCCAGTGTCTCAGTATTGCAAGCTCTACAGCTTTCTGGGGGAAATTAAAGAGCTGGTGAAACCCTAGATCCTCAGAGAGACCCACAGACTTCTAAAGCCCACACACTTGACTTTGGGTGAAACTTTAAACAATTGATCATTATCAAAACAAGCCAAATCGAAAACAATGTTAAAGTTGAAACAGAGTCAAATATTACTCCCCCCCTCACCAAAAAAAAGTTATCATCAACTGTTTGGTGATTTGTAGGATTTACATTAAGGGTGATTAGAAAACAGATGTGTAGATGCCCATTTGTTTCCTGCCTTCAAAATCATCTGGTTAGTAGCTTTTTTTTGTATTTTCTTGGTGTTGGCAGTTATTGTAACACATTTTTCCTCACAGTAACCTTTCAGAATGGGTTGAATGGATTATAAATGACGTGTCCCCAGTGCAAACATTATTCCAGTCCTGCTGGTGGGGTTGGTATGCTGCTGGCCATAGCTGGCCTGCATCTGCTAGGAATCTCCAAATAAGGAAATGGAAAAAATTCCAAGCTTTCTTGAATGTGTCAGCTCGGTGAAAGTCCCAGGACAGACTTGAGGAGTCAACACATGGAACACAAGCCTTTTTAAAAAATTTAATCTCTAATATCTCAATGCATTTGATTTGGCAGTGTCATTTTTGGTCACAGGCACAAGGCAGCTTTCCTAAAAGTTGAGTAGAAACGGTGCCATCAATCACCTCCAGACATTCAGCCTTGACTCAGCTCAGACCTCTTCCTTCCAAGGGAACACAAGACCAGCAGGCAGCAACTTGGTGGTCAAACAGATTCTTATTGTTGTCCTGTCCCTAGCATACACTAATCACTTGGTGTTAGCCTTAGCTTTTTATCCCAGGATGTTTAATCCTAGCTGGGAAGGAGCGGTCATTTTACGTGGTCTGAAGGGCTCATAAATGGAGCTGAAGATAGCTAATTACCCCCAGTGGCCTGCTCTTTGAGGAAGACATTTATTCTAGGGTTCTCTTCCTTGTGCTGAAGCAGCTTTAGAAGCTTCCATGACAAGACGAACAGGTGCTCGTGAGCACTCCTTCGGGTGGGCAGCCATTCCAGGGCGCTTCACATCTGTTGTCGCCTCGGGAAGAAAGTCCTCTCCCTCTTCTAATGTCATGTGTGAAGCACGCCTAAGCTGCTCTTAGACTATGCACACATTCGTTCTATTTTTTTCTGGCCTGTAACAAGGCTTGCGTGTCCCTGTTACGTCCAAGGACGGCCTATCACTTGAGTAGATGGCATATTTAGCTCACGCTGTAAAACTAGCTGCAGAGCACATCATTCGAGCGAGCCATAGCTTTCTTTAGCATATGGACAAACCATCAGACGCCCCTCCTGGACGGTTATATATTCTGAATGTTTGGTGAAAGGGTATACGTTGAGATGGCCTCCGTTCTTTTGTTTTGTGTCAGTCTTGGGGTTTGAGTGCAGGTCCTGGACGCTCTCTCCACGTCATGGGAGCTGTGCTGTCCGGGCTGGCCTTGCACTGTGATTCTCAGATCCCGGCACTCTGAGTCGGTAGGATTGCAGGCGGGAGCCACCAGCGCCTCGCTTGGCCTCTGCTCTTCCATTCTGTGTGTGCTGACCGTGGAACTCTGAAATAAGTTCAGTTATTACAACTTGTCTAAACATTTATCAAGGGAGAATGTTATTATTTATTGAGACCTTAAAACATAACAAAATTTATTTGCCAATAAGAACAGATTTTTCTTACCCGCAAGCCCCACTAACTTGAGGAATTCCTACAAAGCTGTGCATAGACTCACTGCTACAACGTGGTTCCCTGATAGCACCATCCTTCCTGTCACTGGACAGAAGCACTGTTCTCGGCTGTGGGAGTAGTCTGTCAGTTAAGTGAAAGATGTCTCGGTGAATATCCAGTCTCTTGTGCAATAGGGAATACAAATGTCCGTTAATTTTTGTGTAATAAAGGTGATAAGCATTCATCTCACTTCAGATATTACTCTCTGGCCTACATAGGGAGATGCACTCAATATTTTTAAGGCAGCTCTTACCATAGTAAGTCCCCAGACTAGACTAACAGATGGTGCAGTTAGTCAAGCCGGAAGTAACTGGTGCAGAGGAGAGAGAAGTGTGGTCACTAGTACGGTAGACATTTCTGGAAAACAGTTACAACAGCTTCAGTAAACCAAAATAATCCCCACGGTTCCATTTCCTTTTGTCTGCTAAGGAAAGAGAGCCCATCTCTGATGACCAAAGGCAGTGTGGGGTTCTATGAAATAGGACTTTTTGGTGGTCCTGATTCTTAAATGACGGAAAACACAATTCTCAGAAACTCAGCCAAGAACCCAACACAAATTCCATGACAATCTGCAATTTTCCACCAGAGGTTTTTTTTTAATGTTCTCACACTTTTCACTTTGTGTATAGAGAAATCGCCCCACTTTATTATAAGCCCCCAACAGACAATATACCTCACTTTGCTCGTCTGTGTTTGAAATGACCACTCTTACAACTTAATTCTCTCACCAGCATGTGGTTAAGAAAGGCTGATTTGATTGCTTTTTATAATAATCTACCAGTCGGATTCCCAAGCACTAAAGATACCTTTTCTTAAATATTAGGGTTCTTGGATGGAAGCATCTAAGTGACTATATGCATATGAATTTCTGAATCAAATGATATTTGTTGGTACATTCTGGGGGGTGAAAAAGATTTTGTCTTAGTGTGCCATTCTGGTCATTCATCTCACTCCTAATCTAAACCTACCACTTCTGTCTTTGGTGGACAATGGTAAAAAGTGATAGCCTACTTCATAACTTACCTCTGCTGGTATGCTTTTCTTTTATTTTGAAATGACTTACTATGAACCCCAAACTATGTAACCATCAGCTCTTCTTTTGCTATGGCCTTTTTTGTTCTTTCTACTAAGATAGTGAAATTTACAGAACTACTTCTTAACAATGAAAGAATACTGGTCAGATAGGTTACAGAAGTCATTCTCAGAGCATAGTGATAAATGCACTTGCGTAGAACCCATTTTAATCATACTCTAGCTATAGATCGCTGGTTTATTGAGCACCAAACATACGTTAGGTATTTCATCGGCTCTACCTGAAGACATAGTGAACAGGCAGGTGTGACATCAGACTGATAAAGCTTATGCTTTAGGTCAGTGATACATAGTGTACAAGTTACTAATTAAAGTGATACACAAGTTGTTAATTAAAATTGAATCATATGACAAAACCAAAAGTTCAGGAGAACCTCCACTTGTTTAGCTCATTGACTCAGAAATTAGCCATAAGAGGTAAAGCTGGCAAATAAAAAGAAAAGAAAAAAGTAAAGTTCTCTCTCTACCACTGGGGCCATGCCTCTCTCCTTGCTTTTCGGCTGAATTTTTTGGGCAAGGGAATGGCGTCTTCGTATCCCAGCTTCCTGAGTAGTGGGGATCATAGGCATGAGCCACTGGTGCCCCAGATTCTTTTTATAACCCTTTCACCTCTCCACCCTTCTGTAGTAACTCAGGTCCATATGGGAGTGCACACATTCCCTCACACACTTGTACCAATGCTCTAAGGCTTTTAAAGATGAGTGTATCTGGAAAGATCAAGTGATCTGGAACAAATTATACCTTCTTAACTTGATTTTTCCTAATTGCTAGTCTCGGAGGTTAAATAGACTATTAAGAGTTTTGACTGTGAGTCTTGACGATGTGGTACCTCTGATAAGTATCAGTGATACGGTCTCTCTATTTGTAGAACAGCTTCAGTGTTCTCTCTTTCTGATCTTGTCACTTGATCCCCCGAACCACAAAGTCCTGTGTGGGTGACAGAATTCCACTGGAAGGCAGGCGGCAGAAAAGCACATGCCCTTCCATTTATAAGTCTATCTCCTTCCAGCCCTCGGTTGAAAGGGATTTTGCTAATCTTAGAGACATCCAGAAATGTTTTCATTTCGTTAAAATGTGACTCCTTTTAATGATTTAGGATAAAGTAAAGGAGAATTTGCATCCAATGTCAACACACCATTTCTTTTTTTCCTTTATAAGAGATCCATGGATGCAATTAATAATAAAGAAAGTCCACCGTTGATGAATTTTAGCCCAGCAGTGTTCCTGACAATGAAAATCAACTTCATGTTTTTCTCAGCAATGTAGAGTGAGATAGTGTTACCGCTGAGGGCCAAGCGTGTGAAGCTAGAGCCCTGTGTCGCTGATTTAGGAAACTTAACCATTCCCACGATAACGGATCCAGAAGGCAGGTAGCTACTGCTCACATTCTTTGGAGAAGAGGCTATGGAAAATCAAAGCAAGTGGGTAGGAGCCTCTTGATTTTGCAGTACTTGATGCTATCAATAAGTGTATCAAGAGAAGCAAATAAGTTATGTTGGATTATTTGATTCTCCAAACACATTGCTGGTGATGGTATTTAACTGATCATCAAAAGTACAGCCATCTCGAGTACAGAAGCGATATTTGCTTCAATTTTCTGTCAAATGGCTTGCTTTCCTTCTTCACTTCCCCACCCTCTTCAGGCTGGGTGATGTAGGCAGAAAATGAGATTAAAGACTGCTTTAATTAGTCAGCTGATGACAAACCTACTAGGCAACTTTTTCTCTCACCCCAGAAATAAATCATGACTCATTGTATCCAGCGCAGCAGATGCCTCTCCCTCCCTCTGTCTCATTCTCCTCCGCCTTCCCTGGCATTGCACAACAGGACCACCCTCTCTCCAAACGCCATAGACGCATGGAGAGCTGGGGCTGTAAGAGCCTCCAGACCCCGGTCCAGCCTGCCTGTCCCTGCCTGCCCCCATCCTGCAAGGACATCCGCCTGGAACACAGACCTGCAGCTTTGTGAAACTAATGTCTGTTATTCCCCCTGCTCTCTCCTTTGTCCCTACAGCGCCATGGCTACTTATTCTGCCACATGTGCCAACAATAGCCCTGCACAGGGCATCAACATGGCCAACAGCATTGCCAACCTGAGACTGAAGGCCAAGGAATATAGTTTACAGAGGAACCAAGTGTCAACAGTCAACTGAGGAAAACACAATGATTTAACAGGCCTAAGAAGAGAGCACAAACCACGAGACACCTGTCCTGCTCTGTCATTTCTTCATCCGCTGGAGGAAAACAAGTATAAACAAACAAAAGACAGAACTAAAATATTGGGACCATGGCAGAGAAAAGCAGGAGAGGAACAAAATGAAAATTAGTTAACAAATGTACCTCTTCTCTCTGGAACACTACCACCATTTGTTTCTCTGTGTGTTTATTTCATTTTTTCTTTCTATTTATGCTTTGCTTCATATACTCCAAGCTTCATCAGTTAGGTCTAGCCCACCCACTCTCATAATTTGTATGAGGTTTAAAACAATGTGCAGTAGCCAAAGAAATCCTATATATACATATATCCATATTCAAAGCGATTAACCTGTAATTTCTCATCAACCTGTTTGACCTCAGTGCCTTACTCCATCATCTTCCCAGTTCCCCCTCAGAACGTTGGAAAAGCCAAAGTCTTTCTGAAGAATCTATGCCGGACATGATTGTCTTTCTCGTGGTCTCCACGTCTGTGGGTTATGAGAAGGTTTTCCAATCAGCTACTAGAAAAAATAATTGTGGACAAGTTCTGATCATTGGCCTATTATTGGATGGACTGATCAACCCAATTGGCTCAATCTGGCTAATTCTAAGCTGTAAACTCTACATCTCGACCACAGAGTTAAGCTCTAAACTGTAGATATACTTCACACCTTCCTGCAAACAATCAGCAGTCTTACGTGAAAAGACTGTTGGTTGTCTTTCAAGGATTTGCTGTTAAGGGCTATTTGATGGAGAAAATCCTTTTTTTTTTTTTTCACTTGAGAGGGACAGAAATTTCTTCAGGAAAATGAAGACTGAATTGTGAAATGCATGGCCTACATCTCTTTGGTGCCTTCAGTGTAGTCAGACGCACATTTATATATATACTGTATATATTTATATATTTTATATATATAATATTGCAAGCTGGGGTTTGCAGTTTCTCAAACATAGCAAAAAAGCAAAGCTCACACTTCCCCGTCCCCACTGCCACAGCGGTGGGACATTAATTAGGCATCTTGCTTGTTTTCTTTTTCTACACAGATGTTCTCATTAAGGTGGTAGAGCAGTTGGCAAGGGTGTTGTTTGAGAACTAGGACTCCTCACCTTAGAGAGTTCAGTCACTAGAAGTTAGGTCTGACTATTAAGATGTCCTGGAGGTTGGTGTCAGAACGCTGATGAAATGCTGATCCATTCCGACCTGGCCAGGGAATTCCACTTAAGAAGAGGAAAAGATGTCCAGTCATCTGCTCTTTCTCCACTCCCTGGAACTGTAACAGACAAAACATACTAAACATGTTCAAGTGGAGTACTTAACAGTTGGCTGTAATTCCCAACATTTTAAATACAATTATGGACACACACACACACACACACACACACACATATACTTAGTATTTTGAAATAAAATTTAGCCTCTGGGGTGAGAGAGCCAGCTGAGACTTCTTTGCTTCTTCTCTCTGTTCCCAGACCTGCTTTCCTAACTTACTTGCCAGGTGCATTGGAGCATGCTGTGCCTTAGTTTACCTGTTCATAAAAGAAGGGCTTGGCAATTCTTACCTACCTCACAGGGCTGTTGTGAGGCTGTATTCATCTTTGCTTTCCTGTGTTCTCGGTGTGGCCAGCACTTTGTAGCCATGGGAAGAAGGGACTGTAAAGGTGTACAGTGCTAACCAATGGAATGATAGGGTATCTGGAAGGCTTGTCTTCTAGCAAGGGAATGCTACAATGTTGTACAAACTCACAATCTTGTATTTGGAAATGAGAAATAGGTTTATATTTTTAGATGTCTCATAAAGTATGCCATCTGATTAAAGAATAACTAAGGACACACAGAATAGACACATTTTTAGCTTATTCTCATCCTGACCAGCTTGGTTCTAGTCATTTCAATTATTAGTTGCTAGAAAGCTTTAGGTTGATTTTGGCTAAATATACCAGCTTTGAACTCTGAGTGACAGGCAAGGAATTTGGGGTGTAAGATGCACTTTTAATGACTATTAGTATTTCTGATCAGATGGAGCTGACAGTAACTTTGTTTTCAATCTAACAGCTACCAGTCTGAGTATGTATTTCTAACGATTCTGAACTTCTTTCAGTAATAAGAAGGGCATCCATCTTTTGCATTTAGCTTTCACCACTGACTCTTATTTTAATGAAAACATTTTTTATGGAGGTTCATGTAAAACACTGTGCAGCATGCACTATTTGCTTCTAAGAAATCTCCCATTTGTTGTTCTTTTGTCCCATTGATCACTGTGGCTTATCAGGTTTGGAAGGAACAGTATATCCTTGAAGATCAAAACATTCTTTGACTTGAGAAGTGAGTGTAATCCAAACTTTAGGGGGTTGGAGTTTAAAGAGAGGCTTTGGGTTCTGGAGAGCAGGCACAAATCACACGTGCAAAGGGTTTGCTCAGAAGAGGTGACTCTTAGAAGCAGGAGAGGAAAGGTAGAGGGTCATGTGAAACAAGTCATTTGAAACCGTCACAATGACACCCATGTCCAGTGGCCAACAGAAAAGTTTGTGCCTATAAACCCTAACAGTCGGGAAAACCTTCATCTCGTGCCTTGGACAAGCAATGTCTGGAAATTTCTCAGAGCAATGGTGCTGGCTAGTCACGAGAATGCTCACTGCTGGTAGGTCAGCGCACGAGCATCTATTATCTGAGCATGTGATCAAGAAGTACACATGGCGTCCTAGCATTCACTTTGGTCTGCTTATTATTGATCTAGAAACAAGTTGGATAAGTGATTTGGAGGAGTCGACTTCTGTCCCTGCAGCCAGGCAGCAGAAGAGGGTCCCAGTGCCCCAGACTGCAGGCACAGCCCTATTCTTCACCAGCAGCATTCCCAGATGCAGATGAATACCTATGAACGATCTGTGCCCCCAGTTGCTCCCTAAACATGCTGATTTGTAGGGCACTTGGCAGATTAAGCCAGAAGAGGTGACCTAATTAAAAGAAAAATGGAATGAATAAAGATCTCGTAAGAAATGTAATATGTAAATTATATCTTGCTTTATGATGTAAAATATACATTGTTTGCGCTAGAGTAGAAATGATTCCTTTTCAATAAAATGAAAGAACAATGCAGTCATGTCTTTTGTTATACACATTGGAGTCGGCTGATTCATTCTTTTTGAGCTAGCTTTTTGTTATCCTTAAATAGCTGTACAAAGGGGTTTCCATTCAACACGCCAGTTTGTGGGAACAAATGGCAAACCATTCTCCCTCCTGCCACCCGTCATGCCCTCAATTTTCCTAATCCCAGTTTCACATGCAGATGTTGAATATTATGACTGCATTCACCAACGCTTTTCCTCGCCCTTCACCTCCCCTGAGCCCCTGGACCGCACGTCCCCGACCGCACGCATTCCAGGTTCTTGGCATTCATTTTGTTGAAGGAGAAGTTAATTGCTCAAAGGAGTTACACCATTGGAATCCTACACTTCATATACCATATTTTAGCTAATTTGTGTATGAACACATATAACCCTGTATATGTTTATATGTATATAGACAAATATGTAATTTAGATCTAACATCCAGATATGAGAGGAGACGCGCATCCTTTTTCTCTCTGAGCCTGACTTATTTCACTTAACATACTTTTTAAAAGTCCAGACTTGTTCCTGCAAGTTACATAATACATTCTTCCTGATTAATGAGCAAAATTTCATTATCTGTCTGTCTTTTTGTTGGGGGAGGGGGGGAGGTCGTGGGGCTTGAAGTCTGGGCCTGGGCACTGTCCCTGATCTCTTTATCTCAAGGCTAGGATTCAACCACTTGAGCCACAGTGCCACTTCTGGTTTTCTGGTGGTTAATTGGAGGTAAGAGTCTCACAGACTTTCCTGCCCAGGCTGGCTTTGAACTGAGATCCTCAGATCTCAGCCTGCTGAGTAGCTAGGATTACAGGCATGAGCCACCAGCACCGGGCCCTAGATAGTGTCTTTTATGGTAGTATCTTTGCAAGTGTCTTTGCTATACCATGACTCATATTCTTCTGGATCAATGTAAACTCTTTGAACTTTAAAGACATCTGCTAGAACACAGGATGACATTCATATGAGTGAAGGTAAGAAGGACTTGTGAGAAAAAGAATTTTATCAGAATACGATATTTCCTGTTACAAAAGGAAAATAATTATTTTTTTAAAAGTAATGACAGTGGTGATCACAAGGGGATTTTAGAATCATGGGTAAATGTATGGCAGGATTTTTATGAAAGCTTAGTGTTTTTAAAATCAACATCGTAAGTAACAGTAAGAGTAGATACTTTATGACCAACAAAAGACAATAAAGCATGTTGGAGCATGTACGTAGCAACATGCAGTATAGTAAGTGCCCCTTGTGCATAGCATGGGGTGTAATGACGGAAAGAGTAAAGCCACGTTGTGAGACACAAGTTCTGTTTGCACACAATATCTGGTGCAAAAGACAACTCAAGCCTGAACAAGTTTACAGAACAGTTCAGGACAATAAATTAATAAATAGCAAAACAAATAAACCAGACAGAAGGATTCCAGAAAGAGAAAGACAACATGAGCGAGAGTGGGAGAAGCATTTTATAGCCAAACTGGGAGTCATCAACAAGCTTTTATTTGGCCGGGGAGTGGGAAATAGAAAGAACAGAATAAGGGCAGCGATACAGATGCGAGGAATTTGGCCCAGGGAACCATGGCAGGATGATTGCTGATGGGATGGAAAGTTCATTTTAAAGCGGAGCTGAGCAAAGTTCTGAAGGCTGAGGCTGAATCTTCATCCTGGGAGAAAGGAGTTTGAGCGTTTCCTCAGGCCACGGAGATCTAGTCAAGGTTATTAAGCAGAAAAAAAGCCATGCAAAATCTACTGTTTTAGTAAGGCTGTCCTTTAAAGAATGAAGGTAAACTAGAGCAGCACAAGAATGGGAAATAGATCAAACTTGTTACCTGGGAAACAAAAAACAAAGAGCAAGAGGGGAGAGATCTTGTAAGGAAAGCGTTAACAGGACGTAGTAGAAGGAACAGAGTCAAAACCAATGAAAACTGATAAGTAGAAGAACACATCCCTGATTTTAAAGAATGACAAAAAAAAAAACAATAGAAACAGAATGGTCCAGTCACAGGGGATGGCAATTGAAGTTTTAGATACATTATTAAACCTGAAAAATCAAATACAATCATCCAGGCTGTGAAGACGCGAAAATGGGACTTGACCAAGAATACGGATGGAAGTTGGAGATCACGTTCTAAGCTTATCAAACTAGTTGTCAAAAAGGCTTGGCTCCAAGGGTGGTTTACTCAGTCTCCAAGTTTTGCCAGAGTCAGGACACCATCACTAGGAATTTTAGATCTTGGAATGAAGCCCATACTTTGTCCTAATAAGAGACTCTAAAGCGGGTAGCTGAGAAATATTTCTTGTAGACCTAGAGGCTAAGAGTCCCAGATCAGAATAACATCAGGTTCGGAGTCTCGGACGGCTCTCTGCTTGTCACAGCCCACAAGCTGGAGAGCGTGAGCTCACTTCCTTTTCTTTTCTTTTCTTTTTTTTTCTTTTTTTGCTTATGTGGTGCTGAGGAATCGAACCCAGGGCCTCGAGCATGCAAGGCAAGCGCTCTACCACTGATAGGGCCACAGTCTTGAGGACTCCACCCTCCTGACCTCATCTAAGCATGATGATTTCCCAGTATCCCCACCTTCCTCAGAGCCAGCTGGCGGGGATGCTGATTCAATATGCAAATTTTAGGTGGGTGCAAACATGCAGACATACCTTTTGGCCAGATACAGTCTTCCTGCCTTTCCCTCTCCGAGATGCCCTGCACTCCTCCAGACGCCCACCTGGAGGCTCTACCTCCAGTCCTGGACCACACCACGAGCATCTGAGCTTTCGAGACCCTTGACCAAATTATCCCAAGCCTGGGGGTCTGGGGTGCTCACAGACCTGGGTTATGCATTCCACAATCGCCATGCATGTTTGTACATGTTTTTACATGTCCTTTTTTGGTGGACACGTGGTGCTGGATGAGGAGAAGTAGACTCCTGGGACCTGACCCTCCCTGTACTCCCATGTTTTTCCAAGTCTGAGCATTCTAACACAAACTTGGCTTTTCAGGTGTTGGGATGGAGGTGTATTTGCTAAAGGAGGAGAGTAGAATGCAATTTTACGATTGATTAGCATGGTTTGTAACATAAAAAAATAGAAATGAATATCCAGATGTTTCATGGGTACTTTTGTGCTGAGCCCGGGAACAGATAAGGACTGAGCTTTTATCTCCCTCCCCGCCCCAACCCCCATTTTCTCTCTTGTTTTCATTAGTTTTGGGCAGACAGAAAACAGGGCTAGTAACAGCTTTAGCTGATTTGCATTCTGGCAAGAGGCAAAGAAAGAATTTTCTGCACTGGTTCTAAGCAGAATAATCCCAGGGAACGAATGTGGCCTGGCTTGGGTTATTGTGGCCTTTTTGAAACAGTCTGGAAGTCAGGAAAGTGGCATCCTCTGATTGGCCAGATTGCCACTTGCAGGATACTTGGTTATGCGTTGGGAAAAGTCTCTAAAAGAAGGGACTGCTGTGATCAGCTGGAAAGGGACAATAGGCTGGTAGATGACACAGGTCCAGTTCCCGGCACCCTCACCATGCCCTGCCGGACCTGTACCAGCAACGCCCCAAGCACTTACCGGGGGCTGGGAGGCACATGACTGTTTAACTGTTTTGTATATATTTTTTATTGTAAAGATGCTGTACCAAGGGGCGACAGTTCCATGAGCAAGGTCATGAGTCCATTTCCTATCAAGCATTGTTACCTCCTCCTTTGTTTTTCCCCTACCATCCCTTCCTTCTCCACCTCCCGACTCTCCCCTCCCCTAGCCCCAAAGTTATAAAGTTCATCTCATTGTTACAACGGGTCAACCTAGATCCTTATTTCAGGGTTTTGTTATTTCCCTTCTCCTCCCCAAATTAGAAAAATGTATATACACAATGCAGGGCACCGGAATCAAATACAGTGACAACAGGGGATCTACCATGGGGGAAGAACATACAAAAGAAACAAAAATCACAGGGTACTTTATAAATACATTAAAAACATGATTTTTCAAGCACATTTGTAGGTAGTTTCTGATGACTCTGCACCTTATAGCCAAATGGCTTGATTAACCATCCCTGGTGAGTACGGAGAAGAGAAATGAGCAGCAGTAAAATTCCGACTGAGGGCGACGCAGAGAGAAAATGGTATGCGGCGTTCACTTGTGGATAGCAGGGGACGGGAAGCGTGGGGGACTCACTCCACGGACGGAAGTTCCTCAGCTTCTGCCTGTGTTGGCCTTCGCTTTCAACTTTTGCCCGTAAGTCCCCCCGAGAGCTGACCCGCGAATGACAGTGAGTGCAAGACCGACGTGTGCCTCTTCAAGGCATGGCTCAACTGCATTTTGCCTCAACTTTCTGACTCTGTTGCTAATAAACAATGCCAAAAGTCTAGATAAATCGTATTTTTTTTTTTTTGGTCAGCTGTGGGGCTTGAACTCTGGGCCTAGGTGCTGTCCCTGAGCTCTTCAGTTCAAGGTGAGCGCTCTACCACTTGAGCCACAGCTCCATTTCTGGTTTTCTGGTGATTAATTCAAATTTAGTCTCAAGAACTTTCCTGCCCAGGCTGGCTTTGAACCGTGATCCTCAGATCTCAGCCTCCTGAATAGCTAGGATGACAGGTGTGAGCCACCGGCGCCTGGCTCTCAGTTCATTTTTCACCTGTCAGGATGGTATTCAAGAGTTCTGCTTACCCTTGGGACCTTGGTTTCAAGGCATCATCCCAGTCTTCTGCTGTGCACAGAGTGAGATAGTGGTTTTGGGCAGAGAAGATATGATGACTGTGTTCTCCCCCAGCACCCTGGCAAGTCAGGATCTACAGTGGGTAGTGGTGGTAGTGTTGTGTTACCTTTTAACAGGTCCATGGGATCTCTCCCTCCCTCCCTCCCTCCCTCTCTCTGTCTCTCCATCTGTCTCTCTCTGTCTCACTGTCTCTTTCTCTGTCTCTCTCTGTCTCTCTGTCTCTGTCTCTGTCTGTCTCTGTCTGTCTGTCTCTGTCTGTCTCTGTCTGTCTGTCTGTCTGTCTGTCTGTCTGTCTGT